TTCTTCCATGTGGACTTTGTTGTTTCTGAGCTAGATGGCCACTTGTTTACCTTCAACCCTTTAAGGATGGTCCGTACCCAGCTCTGTGATCTTGAGCAAGTGTCTGATCCTCTCTGAGCCTGTTTCCTCCTCTGCAAGGATGAGGTGGTAGAGCAGAACACTATGTCCCACACAGAGCTGCTGGAGAGAGCAACGTCAATGAAATAGCTTAACATAATCCTTATAGGTATAGGCCCCGAGAGACACAGCTATTGTTAACTAGGTTCTCCACAGAGGGAGCCCTGCTGGCATCAGGGCTTATTCATTTGGGCCGCTAACCACAAATCCTGCCATTTGAAAACACCAGCTGTCCATCAGAAAAAAGAGAAGGCTTTCTCTTCCTATAAAGATTTGCAGTCTCAGAAACCCATAGGGGCAGTTCTACTCTGTTATATGGGGTCTCTATGCTTACAGAATGACAGTGAGTTCCATTGGGCTTGAGGGTCTCTGTGCATTGAGATTAAATCAAGGACAACACAGTTTATTTGCTTTTGTGTTTATTAATATGGTAAGATGCAAGCATACACATACACCATCTCTTCTAATTATGCCGACACTGGTATTTGTCCAATCCATGCATTGCTCTTCCTGGGACTTAAGAGAAATCATGACAAACACATTTGAAATCCATTCTGGAGAGCATGCACCAACCTACATGCCCAGGTTGTTCTGACGAGGGAGCACTGACCTTCCCAGGTGTCAGGCCTGAATCAGTCCCAGAAGCAGGATGCTCTCGGTGCCTGGAGTTTATTGGTGACGGTGGTGTGGGGAGGGAATGGGGACAATAGGACAGTCTCTTCAAGTTCACCCTGTAGAACCACCCATCAGAAGTGACAGCTGAAGGGAAAGCTCTCTACGTCCCTCCCGTAACAAAGAAAGCGAGACTCTGAGAGGGGAGTGATTTGTCTAAGTTTGCATCTCGATGGGCAGACACGTGGATCCCCTGACAGCTTCCCCCCATCACCACCACCACCACCACCACCACCAAAGTGCATCCTCGAGAGACAGATTCAACTGGCAATTGCCTGGCGCTAGAAGACAGATGGGCAAACGAGTGGGGCCGATCTATAAAGAAAGATTTCAGGGCGCATGAGTCAGAAATATCAGACAATCTTACATTCCTCGGGGAAGTGGTGGATAGAGGCAGAACTAAATGCAACATTCCTGAAAAAGTTCCTTTTACCCCCCAAAATAACATTGCTTTTTTTTTTTTTTTTTACTTTTTGAGCCTTTGTTTTGAACAACTGTTTTTATTGCACTAAACTTTGGAAAACCAAGAAAGCAGAATGCCATTCCCCCCACCCAAGGGTCCCCACCTTAGTTCCAGACTTAGAGAGGACAGTGTGGCATCCGGAGCAAGACCAAGGCCCCGGCAGGTTCCCAGGAGGCTTCCGGCTGCAATCCCCATCTTCTCATCTTACTTTCCTGAGACACTTTGCAACCTCACAACCTGCAGCGAAAGACTTATCCTTGCAGAGCAGTTGCATGCCTATCGCCGGCTGTGGAGCTTCCCTTCCTTAATGACACGTCTCCCACATGCTTGGCCACCCAGAGGCCGAAAGCACCCACGTATCATGCGCAGCCTGAGCTCTCCTCTCCTGTTGTCATCCCAGCGTTGGGGAGCAGGGGCTCTGCTGAAAGGCTGCACTCATCCATCCTGAGCTCCTGCCTAAATTCCAATTCCAGCAGGCCTTTAAAGGCTTCTTGAAGCCCGCCCCGCCCCGCCAACACACACACACACACACACACACACACACACACACCAACCCCTGCCAAGGAGTCCATTCCAACTCACAGTGAGCCCAAAGGACTCAAGAGAACTTCCCCTGTGGGTTTCTGGGGCTGTACATCTTTACAGAAGCAAAAAGCGTTCTCTTTCTCCCTAAGAAGAGCTGGTGGGTTTGAACAGCTGACCTTAGGGCTCTCCTCCCTGCAGCCCAGTTGTGTTCACTCATTACTCAGGAGTGGTGTGGAGGTCAAAGGGCTGAGCAGAGGCAGCGGGGGCGCAGGAAGGAACCTTGGGATCAGAGATGAGCTAACCACCGGTGAGACCCGAGACACGGCACAAAAGCGTGCAGGCAGTATCGACCCTCTGGCGCGGTCCCCTTCGGATCCCATTCTTCAGTCTTCCTGTGTACCTACCGCATCCCCACCTCCGTGGGGCTGCCAAGCCTCAGCCATGTGCTCTGCCCCCCAGAAAGCTGACAAGTATTGACAAATATGCCACCCTTTCCCCGCTCTTTCCCGCTGAGCGCCTCCTTTCCTGGGTGGGCTTGATTTCACGGTCCAAGCCAGACATTTTGGAATATGTCTGTAGTGGCACGGAGCAGGCAGGAATATTTATTTCTTGTCTCCATCTGCATTGCTTCCTCTCTTGGAGAGAAGGTGGGGGGAGGAGGCAGTAGGAGATGTGGCTTTTCTGTGCCAGCCGGGAGGCGCCCAGCATGCTCCTCCTCCCCTCACTCCCCAGCCTCAGCAGCAGTAGCAGCCTGGGATTGATGGAGGCAGGCGCCTCTCGAACTTTTGGAAGATCAGCCCAGTTGGGAGACACAATTAGCAACCATCCGCCCATTTCTCTTGACTGCAAGATGTGCTTTTGTGGGGGCAGCTTGCTTGCAAGTGTCCTTGTCTCGTGGATAGTCTCTTGCTGTTCTTTTAAGAGGCCAAGAAGTGGGGAGGTGGTGTGAGCAGGCGCCCCAGTGCCTCCACCAGTAAGTTCAACCTTCTCCTCAGTCGTATCCAGGTGTAAGCCAACATGCTCATTTGGAAACCAGGCATGCATGCATCCATTCGCTTAGTCACTCACCCAGAGTGTATATTTTGCACACTTGTGTACCATGTAAGAGTCCCTGGGTAGCACAAACACTTGCACACCTGGCTACTAACCAAATGGTTGGCAGCTGAAATCATCCACC